CCTTGGTGCAGGTCAGTCTGTCCAGGGGTTATGATGATTTGACCCAGGGTTGTCTGTGGGAGTACCATGCTGCTTAGCTCACCTGGTGGTTGCGTGTCCCAGGCAGGTTAGGAGCTGTGTCTGGCAGTGCGGGAGCCCTCCTGGTTTCTCCCTTTAACGTGGAGTGGGGATGTTATGTATGAGCTGGGGGTGTGGAGGTGTTGGAGTTTTGTCTCTTATTGGTGTTTTTTGCTGCCAGGTATATCTCCAGTGTCTTTCCAAGATTTTGCTTTAGCAAGCATGCTTTCTGCCTCCTCCCGCTAGTCTCCATCTTGGAATCTTCCCTATTAGGTTTTAAAAAATTCTTTTGCGATTATTGTGAATGCAGTTTTTTTCCGTGATTTCTTTCTCTCCCTGTTCAACATTGGTATAAAAAAAAGTGTTAGTTTTTATATGTTGATTTTTTTGTATGCTCTTAGTGTTTATCAGATCTAAAAGTTTTTTGGTGGCGTTTGTAGGGCCTTTTCAGTATAGGATGATATCATATATGAACAGGGATGATTTGTTTTCTTTCTTTCTTATTTGTATCCTTTTCATTTCTTTCTCTTGCCTTATTGTTCTGACTAGGAATTCAAGCATTACATTGAATAAAATTGTTGACAGTGGACACCCTTGCCTTGTTCCTGAGTTTGGAGGAAATGTTTTCAGGTTTCCCTCACTTAGTATAATGTTGGCTACCAGTTTATCTTATATAGTCTTTATTATATTGAGGTATGTTCCTTCTATTCCTTATTTGTTCAGGGCTTTCATCATGAAGGGATGTTGAATTTTGTTCCAGGCTTTTTCTTTATCTATTGAGATGATGAAGTGATTTTTGTCCTTTATTTTTTTATTTGTTGTGGTGCATTTATTGATATGTGTATGTTGAATCATCTTTAGATGCGTGGAATGAAACAAATTTGATCATGTGTGATATTTTTAGTGTGTTGAATTTGGTTTGCAAGGATTTTTTTATACTTTATTTTTATTGTTGTATAGGGGCATATTGTGACATTTACAAAATTCCTTACATTTTATCATAGTTGAATTCACCCCCTCTGTTTTCTCCTTTATCCCACTATCTGCCCCCCATTTCTGGAATAGTTTCAACAGGTGTCATGTTTTACAGAGTAGTTCCACCATATTCACCCTCTGATTACCTTTCCTTATATCCTCACCCCTCCCAGGCAGGACCTGTTTTGCCTTCCTGTTCTCTGCTTTTATAGAGATGTTGAATTTTGTCACAGTCATTTTCTGCATCTATTGAGATGATGCTTCTGTTGATATGCTCTATTATATTTAATGATTTATGTATGTTGTGCAAAATAGATATACAGGGAGTTTCCCTGTTACATTTCCATGTATATATATATATATATATATATTATAACCTGAATTGGTTCATCCCCTCTTTGTTTCTCCTTTCTACCTTGGTCTCCTCCTTATGGTGATTTCAACAGGTTTAAGAATTCCATATTCTGTATTCTTATATGAGAATGTATTTCAACCATATTCATCTTCTCAACTTCCTTCTTTTACCCTCCCTCTCTCGTATGTCACCTTCCCAGTATAACCTGTTTTACCTAATACTGCTTACATTTGTATTGGGTCTGTATTCCATATATGAGAGAAAACATGTTGCCTTTGGCCTTTTGTACATGACTAACTTCACTTAAGAGGATATTCTCTAGTTTTATCCATTTACCTGCAAATGACAAAATTTTGTTCTTCTTTATGGCTGAATAAAATTCTGTTGTATATAAATACCACTTTTCTTAATCCATTCATCAGTTGTGGTGTACCCTGGCTGTTTCTATAGCAGGAGAATTTTGATCAATAAGATTAAGTTATTGTGGACAGGAAATAAGCTGCTAGGAAGATCTGCTTCATGGTTGTTATGGTTTGTGTATGGCGTGACTGTGTCCCACAAACTTTTTGCCTGGTTTGTCTTCAAACTTCAGTCCTCCCCATCAGCTAGGGTTATAGCCTTGAACCATCCTGCCTGACTTCTTCTTTCCTTTTGTTAAGAAATCATGAATTAAAAGTCCAAGAGAAGTTCCTTGTGTATACTTCTCCCATCCTATTCTAATTCTTGTTGTTTATGAGCCACTTCTTCCCTGAATTTGGTGTTTATTAGGAAACTTTTAAGCAGTTATACTCCCATGTATGTATCTATAAAATATATGTGATTTTCTTTTGCAGATGTCATTTTGATGTTTTATCTAGCAAATATTTCCTCCACATTGTCTTTTTTGGATTTACTGATTTGTATGTGTGTTTTTACTGCGTTCAGTTGTACTTACATTACTGTTAATCCTACATTGTATAAATATACAGGATTTATCTTTCTCCCTCTTTTTTATTTTTTTGGGTGGTTTTGGGGTTTAAGTTCATGAACTTGTACTTGCTAGGTAAGCACTCTACCACTTGAACCATTCCTCCAGCCCCTTTTCCTTTAGTTATTTTTCAGATGGGTCTTGTACTTTTTCTCACCGCTGTCGTTGGTCCCCAAATTGTCAACCTATGTCTCCTGCATAGCTGGAATTAACAGGTTTACACCAGCCATCGTACTTGGCTTATTCTTTGAGATAGGGTTTCATTAATTGTTTTGCCCAGGTTGGCTTTGAAGTATGATATTCCTCCCTGCCAAGTCGGTGATACTACAGATGCAAACTACTGTGCTGGACTCCTTTTTCCTTTTGGTAAACAGTTGGGTTTCTGTTTTTAGCTATTGCCTTGCTACTATCTTGAATAATTTTGTGTGTTTTTTCCTGGTACATGTGTAAGTTTCTCTAGGACAGTTGTTCTCATTCTTGGTATGTTTTTACCTGGGAAGTGTTTTTGAACATCCAGTCCTTCATCACTCAGTGTCATCCAGATGCTGATAAAATTGACAGCATCAGCTTTAGTAACTGCATTGCTAAGTTCCTCTCAGTTGTGTTTCTGCCAATTTGCATCAGTCTGTTTTATCAGTTAAATTTTGCCAATTTTATGTGTAAAATTGTTTCTTGTCCTATGTTAATTTGTTTCTCTGTGATTACTAATGAGATTGAACAGATTTCCTATACTGCTTGGATTTTTTGGTCTGATTTAATTGCAAGTTCATTTAATCTTACAATTTTTCCATTTGGTTCTTTTATTTCATCCTGATTACTAAAGAAGTTGAATCTGTTTCATATTTTTTTGGTTATGTTTTTCTTTTGTGATTTAATTATAAGTTATAAATTTCCCAGCTTTTCTGTTTGGTTGCCTGTTTTTTTCTTTTTCGGCAGTAGTGGAGTTGAACTTGGCCTGGTGCTTGGTAGGTACCACTTGATGTTTTTCTTTTAAATATAGGAATGAATTAGCTATCTTTTTTGGACTTGAGTCCTTTCTTGGTTATATGTGTGGAAAACAGTATTATTTTGGAGTCAGTGTCCATTGATGTATGGAAATTTTTAATCATGTTTTTTTAAATTACTTAAGGAATTCATCCATAGTTTTGTTACAAAAGTGGTTTAGTTATGCCAGTTATGTTAGTTTTGTAATCATTCATTCAGTAAATATTTATTGCATGTCTATTACCATATTTCATGGTTAAAGTCACAATTTCACGTTTCTGGTACTAGGATGCGTTTGTAATTGTATTTGTTGTTCTGAGTGGGGGTACTTTGTATGTTTTCATTGTTTTATTAGTCTGTCTTGTGTTGATATAACAAAATACCTGAGACCAGGTAATTTACAAGGCAAAAAGGTTGAATTTGCTTACAATTATCATGACTAGGGAGCCCAGGTCACAGTTACTATCTTTCCAGTCCCTTAGTTATTTGTTTAGAAAGAATTCAATTGATCATCTTTTATGTGTCATATAGACATGAATAAGAGTGATTTCTTGCTTTCACAGAATCTCAGTGGCCTCTAAAAAAAGGCCATTTCCACAACAGTTCATTGGGATTTGGGAAGAACACAGAGTTGTTCATTTTACTTTATCTTTATTCTACTTTGTTTTTATAACATGTAGTTGGACATCTGTACATATTGTTAAGATTTACCATGCACAAATTGTGTACACCTATTAAAATATATATTTAGGTAGGTGATACATCAAGACAAATCAGCAGACAGTGTAACCAAGAGAAATGCAGGGATTCTATGTCACTTAATTCAGTGAGTTGACTCACTGAAGTGGGGAATTGCAGACAGAGAAAGTGACAAAAATTAGTTTTGAAGGATTGAGTCTCAGAGGTCAAGAGCATTAGATGGTTTGTTAGTATACTTGGTATGTGGAGATGTGTAGGACATAGCAGGAAGTGGCAATCCATTGGTGAGTAGGGGCCAGATTACTTGAACAAGGCATTTTAATTAATTCTTTTTCAGTGCTAAGGATTGAACCCAGAGCATTGCACATGATAAGCAAGTGTATGTTACAGCCCTTTAACTTAATTAGTTGTTTTAATATAATAGGGTACCATTTAAGGATTTTAGTTATGATAATGGTCTGATTATATTTTTTACTGTTTTGAAAAGAATTCTAGTGACAGGTTTTTTGTTTTGTTTTAATAAAGGGTCTCATTATATAGTGCAGGTTGGCCTTGAACTCACTACATAGACCTGGCTGGCCTAAAACTTGAGATCTTCCTGACCCAGCCTCCTGGGCATGCACCATCTTATCCAGTGAAGTGTTAGAACTTTAAACCACAGAAAGCATTGTAGGTGACTATGCTGGTTATTTTGAGCATTTGCTGATACTTTCCTGAGTTATGTGGATTTTAATTTTATAGTTAATTTATATAATAAAATTACTGATTATATTAATGCCTCAATTCAGGTATGGAATCTTATGATTAAGTTAGATTCATGCTGCTGTCTCATACTATTTTATGTGGTTATAATTTTAAAATAACTTAGAAAACTTTAGTCAAACTAATTATTAGAGGTGGCATAATTGCACTGATAAAATGGTTGTTAGTGTTGACATTTTAAACATTGTTTCTTTAATTCAGGCTCAGCCAGTTGGAGATTGTGATTTTAATGTTCGTCTGCAGTGTATAGAACGAGAAATTATAAATCCTCGACATGAAAAAATGAAGACTGGGTTGATCGACAAAACACAGGAACCATTTAGTGTCAGAAATAAGCCATTTTTTGACATCTACATTTCAAGAAAGGTAAAGTTTATTTTTTGTTTTCTACTTCATGTATTATCATTCAGTTTGTGAGAAGAATATGAATTTTGCTGCTCAGTTGTTTTGACTTTACCAGAAATTACTGGAATTGGATATAGTACTATTTTTACCAAATGTATGATTCTCAGCCTTCTCCTCTTTAGTAATATTCTTAGTTGTGGACACATAAACTAGGTTGCTGCTCTGTTTCTTATAGCAGTTTATGATTCATGACCATTGGTTCATATTTTATTTATTCAAAAGCTATAAACAACATAGAATTATCTAGAATGAAAATCATTTTTTAAGGTCTGTTCTTTCTGAAAGTAAACAGTATTTGGTACATAGTCTTTCTTTAAAAATTCATGATATACATATGTATATCCTTATTTCTGTTGTTTTGACACTCAAAATGAGTCATACCAAATATTCTGGGACTTTTTCTTTCACTTAAAAATATGGCTTGGAGATATTTCCATGTCAGTGTGCAGAGGTTTGCCACATTATTTTTTAATTGCTGAATGATATTGATAGTAAAAATATACCATAAATTATTTATTATTGATGAGCCTTTAAGTTGTTTTAAACTTTTGTTATTACCAACACTGTTTCAGGGAACATCTTTGCTTATATGAGTATTTCTTCAGGATGAGTAGAAGTAAAAGTTTTGGTTTAAGGATTTTTGGATAATAGTAGTAACTACTACCAAATTGTTTGCCAAATAAAGCTCTTCCCTCCCCACAAATGAGAGAGTTACTTTCCTTATACCACAGCCCGGTCCCTTTTCTCTCCTAGCCTGTGTAGACAAGGCTGTTGTGGATGGAGTTGAACAAGTGTCTAGAACAGGGAACTAGAATGTTCCTTGCTTCGCTCCTTACTGACTTGGAGATCTTTTCTAAGACACTTAAAAACTTTTCCTGACAAAGTTTATTCATCTGTAGCTTGGGGTTATAAATTACTGGTTTGTTCTTGAAAGGGAAGAATTAACACTTCTTTATCAAGTGGAGTGTTTACACCTTTTTGTAACATTAGAACTTTCACAAGAGATGTAATAGTTTTGATAGTAAAGTTCTTAACCATAATAAAAAAATACAGTTTTGTTATATGAGCTTAACAAAACATTGTGTGTAAAACTGTTAGAAAAGCATTTGAGAGGTGGGTGCAGTGGCTCAAATCTGTAATCCTAGTACCTACGCCAGGCTGAGATTGGGATAATCATGGTTCAAGGCCACCCTGGGCAAAAAGTTTGAGAGATCTCATTTCTACCAATGTCTGGACAAGGTGATGCTTGTCTATCACCCCAGTTACTCAGGAAGCATAAATAGGCTGATCATGGCTCAGACCAGCCTGGGCATAAAGTGAGACCCTATCTCAAAAATAATGCACAAGGCTGATGGATGGCTCAAGTGGCAGAGAACCTGTCTACCATGAAGCCCTGAGTTCAGTCCCCCCAGTGCTATGGGGAGGGGAAAAAGTTCTTTTATGTTATCAAATTTGGCATTGTTTTTATATTGTTTTCTAATATTGTAGGTACATTTGTAGATGTTTGCAGGTACATTTAGATGCTCTATTTAAAATCTTTTATTTCATTATGACTTGTCTTTTGTTTCCATAATGTGTTTAGCACCCTGCAGTTATTTCTATTCACTGTCTCTCCCTTAGGTCTCTAGATCTCATACAAAAACACTAATTCTGCTTATACTCATCTCCTCATTTTTCTTAACCTTTGCTTTCTCTTCTTATTTTCAGCATCACTACTGCTGCTAGCATAACTTACTGTTATTACTATTGCATAATTTGTTTTTTACTATGGTATTTACCATATCGTAACACTTAAAAGCACCTGTACCTTAGAGTTTCTGCTGTTAAGACAAAACATATATACTGCTTGTTGACTAATTATTTCCTAAAATGTTCTCCATTCCTTATTAGTACTTTTGGTGGGATTCTTATTTCTTTGTGTGCAAATCCTATATGGTGTGTTTTCTCTTTTCGTTATTAGGATAACTATGATTTTTTTGAATCTCTCTTAATCTCTCTCTCTCTCTCTCTCTTTCTCTCTCTCTCTCTTCTCCTTGTATTATTTCTTAGTACTTTAAGATACCTGTTTTTTGGTAGTGGTTTACTTTCTTAGCAAAATGAATTTATGGTTCTGTTTGTTGGAGATATGTTAGTTGATTCATGAAGCTCTATTTTCCTTATCTGAACATAAATATATCTTGAGTATGCATACCACTTAGTTCATACTTGACTGTGAATTGATAAGCATTTAAAACTTTCAGAAGTTTTATGGGTAAAGTGTTATATTTGACAGTAAAAGAAGCCAAGTTGGCCATTTCCTAACAAGTCTCAAGCAAGGAGTGATTGTGTGAAACTTGTCACTTTCCAGAGTCAGGCTTGTATCTTCACAGATTTAGAAATCTTGTCTGGGAGCCACTTGTTCTCTTTATGTTTCTCTAAGTTCAATTTATAGTTTAGCTTTGAAGAAAATAAGCAAGATACTGTATTATCAGACTTTGTGTATGAAAATTGCAGGTGACATCGAAGAAGTTGCATTCTGGTGGGATTTTAGTTTCTAAATTAGTAATGACCACTGTTACGTGCCAAGGTATGGCATTCCAAGTAATTGGTACTACAAAGAATGGTCATGATCTTTTTATATTCAAGGGTGGGAGTAGTACAGGCTATATAGCAATATGTGCAGTTACGCATTTCAAACTCTTTTCCAGCATAATCGTATATGCTAGATGATGTAAATTTTTGTTAGCTTTTATCTCCCATTGCTGTAGTCTACTTAATTTGGAGTTAGCTCATGAATATATTTTGAGTAGCAATTCCAGCACCATCAACTACTTAACTTTTTCATTTTAAATGAATATACGTTATCGTTCTGTTTTTTAAATAATTTTATATAACACCTGCTTGGAGGTGAGACTGTTGATCTACCTCTGTTGCTATGCTCTTTACCTATGAACTGCTTGCCTTTTGTGTCTGTTTTGACAGCAGGGATATTGTAAGGGTGACTGTAGGAGCTTGTGCACTGCTGTGCCTGCCCAAAGGGGAGGATACAGATAATATCAACACTTGATCTATTAAATGGACTTACGTACTTCTATAGAAATATTTCTAAATTGCAACTACAGTATGAAAATTGGACAGGAGGCTCATTGCTTCAGTTTGTGTTTATTTTTAAATTAACTACTATGGCAGCTTATACTGCCATAATTTATAGTTCAGCAATAAGGAAAAAGTGTCTTACATAGTGTAATTCTATTAGTCCAATCAGTGCTGCTCATTGCAGGCTCTGCACAGAACTGTGACTAGAAAATATTTGGGAAAATATAAAATTGTGTCTGCACCAAACACATGAAACTCTGAACACGTGCAGCCCTTTTCCTTGACATTATTGCCCAAATCATACAGCATAACAACTATTTACAGGTATTTACTGAACTAGATGTTATAAATAATCTAGAGATGATTTAAAGTATATGGGAGGAGGATATGCATAGGTTATATGCAAACACTGTGCCATTTTATGTGAGGAACGTGAGCATCTATTGTCTTTGCTACCTTATATGTGGGATGGAACCTAGCCTGGGGAAATAGTTTGTGAGACCCTATCTTGAAAATACCCATCACAAAGACGGCTGGCAGAGTGGCTCAAGGTGAAGGCCCTGATTTCATCCCCAGTACCGCCAAAAAAAAAAAAGTTGATGATTTGAGCTTACTACTCTTTTTTTTTTTTAAATTCATTTATTCACATGTGCATACATTGTTTGGGCCATTTCTCCCTCCTGCCCTCTCCCTGTTCTGCCCTTATCTCTAATTTTGTTGAAGAGAAACCGTAAGCAATAATAAGAAGACAAAGCGTTTTTGCCAGTTGAGATAAGGATAGCTATACAGAGAGATTCCTAGCACTGCTTCCATGTACAAATGTGTTACATCCCAAGTTGATTCATCTCTAACTGATCTTTTCACTGGTTCCTGATCCCCTTCTCATATTGACCTCTGTCACTTTAAGGTTTCTGTATTAGTTCCTCTGCAGTGGGGGTATCAAATACTATCATGTTTTGGGTTTCCTACCTATCCCCATACTTCCGGTGTGTGCTCTCCCCTTATCATGTGACCCAAGACCAACCACATTGCTGTATTGGTTGTAAATCTAAAGTCCGCATATGAGGGAGAACATACTATTTTTGGTCTTCTGAACCTGGCTAACCTCGCTCAGAATGATGTTCTCCACTTACATTGATTTACTTGCGAATGATAAGATTTCATTCTTCTTCATGGCTCCATAAAATTCCATTGTGTGTAAATACCACATTTTCTTAATCCACTTGCTGGTAGTGGAGCATCTTGGCTGTTCCCATAATGTGGGTATTGTGAATAGCACTGCACTAAACATGGGTGCGCAGGTCCCTCTGGAGTAACCTGAGTTGCATTCCTTTGGTTATATCCCCAGGAATGGGATTGCTGGATCATATGGCAGATCTATGTTTAGAGTTTTAAGAAGCCTCCAAATTTTTTTCCAGAGTGGTTGCACTAGCTTGTATTTCCACCAGCAGTGTACCAGGGTTCCTCTTTCCACATATCCTCGCCAACACCTGTTGTTGGTGGTGTTAGAAATAATGGTTATTCCATAACATATCCTCGCCAACCCGTGTTGTTGGTGTGTTAGAAATAAATGGTTAAGAGACGCAATTTCTTTTGATGAACCAGAAGCTTTTTAGTTTTGAGGTCCATTTTCTATGCATCTCTTAGTTGCTGAGCTCCTGGGTTCCATTGAGAAAGTCCTTGCCTATACTATTAGTTTCAAAGAATTTCCTACTCTTCCTGTAGCAGCTTTATTTTATTTTTTTAGACTAGCTGTTGTTTTATTCTTGTAGGATTGCTGTTAAGGTAAAAGCTACTATCATCCAGAATCTATCTTCTTTACTTAAGGGTAGAAAACAGTTTTGTTTTTTCTTTTTTTTTTTTATTTTATCACATGTGCAAACATGTTTGGGTTTTCTCCTCCCTTCCACCAACTCCTTATCCCCAGTCCCTTCTCTCCCCCCACCCCCTGCTACCCCAAACAGAAACTATTTTGCCCTTATCTCTAATTTTGTAAGAGAGAGTATAAGCAATAATAGGAAGGAACAAGGGTTTTTGCTAGTTGAGATAGGATAGCTATACAGGGAGTTGACTCACATTGATTTCCTGTGCGTGGG